AAGCTTTTCACTCCTCAGTGCTGGTATTTTCACAGGGAAACAAATACTTCATTCAACCTATGACCACACAGAAGTCATCTTGCATGACTTTATTCATTGTGAAACTCACCCTTCTTCACAGTAGGCTGTTGAACAAGACAGATAATTACTCTGAACCAGATTCAGCTAGGTAATTCTTGAAACAAAAAAGGGCATTCAACCTCATCTGGACTCTACTCATTTTATCTCAACCTCTAGATGGTATTGTTTAAGGCAGTCAATTTGGATTTGAACTCTTCTCTCTTCTTTGACTTCTGGCCTCTCACCCAAAGGAAGTCTAAATTCACTGTCCAAGGTAAACCTTTTCCAATGATTTGCAAGCGAAAAACTAGCAAGTTCAAAACACTGCAAACAGTAGATGCTGACATCTTAAAGTAGCATATAACATGTTCTGTGAACTGCTATCTCCACATAAACAGTCTGAGAGTTGTATACCAAATATAAACAGTGTAATTTCTTCATGTGTTTGCGCTCTTAAAGAGAACTAGATTTATCCTTCACCTATGAAAGTCACCTAAACTCCTTCCTTTCCTTTCCCTGCTAAAAAGGCTCCATATACAAGTAAGAGCCGTCTAAGTCTCAATGAAGTCTTAAGTTCCCATCACATCGTTTTCTCTCCTATGTGAAGCACTGTACTGTACACAAGCATCAATTTGATTCAAAATTGAGTCATTCCTAAATGCTTACAGAAACACACTGATTAACTCAAAACCCCCTTTCTTCTTTCTAAGATACTTTAATTCACAGATATGACATTCGGTCATCTATAAAACACAAAATAGAGCCACACGTGTTGGCAACATCACTATCTCCCCACAGAGGCATGCTCAGACTAGAGTAGCATGAGAGAATTCTAAAAAACTTTTGACAAGATCTTATCTACTCTGATGCAGATACAACAGGAAAAAAACAAGAAGAAAAATGTTTCCTTTCCACAAAACCGAAGTATTTGGTTTTTATCTGGTTCTTCCAGACTATATCCAACAAGCCTTTTACTAAAAAGGAAGTCTGAAAGCATTAATTTAAGTTGTCTCTGCGTAAGACACTTCCCAATATTTTCGCTGTTATCTTAATTATTCACTGTAGCTTCGCTTTATTCATTTTGGCTTCACTTCCTCACTATAACATATTGTACACATCACTGAGCACATTCACCAATTGTTTTCTTTTCCCCAGGTGAAACAGTGAGTGATTGAGGCACATTATATATTCCCTCGTTTGTGCATGCCAGAAAACCCTCACAAACATAATCAAAGTCTCTTAAGCTTGTGTGTATATAAAACCACAGACACATGCATATAAAAAACAATAGACATTACTGACAACCTCTCAATAGCAAGAAAACAAACCCTAAAATTTTATTGCTGGTTTGCTCTTTCTGAAAAAGGGAGTACTTCGATACTGTCACTTACCAATTCTTCTACCAAAGATTTTGTTTTGCAGTAGCTTTTATCAACGTATTCTGTCAACACTGCAGACTGAACTATCTATGATGTCTTGAGTAATGTAAAAAAAAAAAAAAAATAAATGTTAAAGTAATCACATTAACTGCAGTCTATTTGTAAACCAGCAGAGAGCAAGAGTGGTTATAACCACTGCGATCACTTTTTCAGTAACTTCCCTAAAAACCAAACAGTACATGCTGGGTTGTCAGACAGTGAACTGCCAGGCTCCGCCCTTGCTACCCGAGGAGTGAAAAGTAGATCCAGTGCTCTATATTCAACTCAATAAAATATTAAAAAAGTGTACACAATTTACTGTGCAACTGTGAAATATGTACATCCACTGAACAAAACCAGACCATTGTATTTAAGGTAAAAATTTACTTCTCAGGAAGAAAGTTACATAGCTGTGCTCTCCTCTCCAAAAAAAAAATTGGCTTTTAGCTGCTAACTTGAGTTTATGCCCATGGTCCCCACACAAGCATAATCAACAGACCACAGTCACAGAATAACTACTAATTGATGTCCTGATGTTAACCAGTTACCAACCAGCATGAAGAATACAATCCTGACTTTCCCCATTCATCGGGAAGAAGTCTTGTTGAAACAAAAATTGGTTTACTGGCCATTTCCTGCAATTAACTACAAAAATGTGACTTCTGGAATAACGGATGATATAGAAGGAAAACTACGACCCAACAAACTTAGTTTGACATCAGTCAAATCCTGCTTTTAATAATCCTCAGATATGACTCCCACACTGCCATCTCTAGCAACAACAATAAAGACGTTTTTCCAACAATCATTTTAAAATCGAATTTTCTAGAAAGAAGTTACCACTGAGAATACTTCTAGCAATTTAGAAACTTGAACATTGGTGTGTCAATTACAGAACTCTAGGATGAAGATGCAGACGCTGAGCTTATAATCCTTAAGAAGAAACAGAAGTGGTCTTAAGAACTAAATGCTAACTAACTTTACTTTGATTACACTAGTTGAAATTGCAAGTAAAAATAATGTTATTATTCTGATTATTTAGAAAAAAAGAAACAAAAAACCCCAGTAGCTTCCTGAAAATAGAGTAATGCATTTAAAAGTCAGTATTCTTCAAACCTACCAATAAAATATCAGGTTCAGAGCCTATTAATAAAATAATGGAAAAAGACAACTGGTCAGCAGATGATTAGCTGGGACTTCCTGAAAGACGTTCAACTTCTTCACGAAACAACACTGACAGAAAAAGACAGTAATGCTGAACAACAAAAATTAGCTAAGCAAAATACAAAATTACAATAATGCTTCAACACTGTGAATGACAGCCAGTGGACAAGTTATCTTGCAAAACAGGTAAGCAATGATCATTGCAAAATATTTAGAATCGCAGAGTAAAGTTAGTGGATCGCAGCAGAAAGTTACAGTGAAATTTTACAAACACCATGAAGGAAGCATATCCATGCATTACTGATGTTCAGTATGCAGCTGTGGTGGGGAAAGAAAAAAAAAGCCAACATTCAGATGGTTTAGTCTACTTCAGCTGCAGAAGAGACCCTTTTCAGTCTAGTTTTTGCCCCAAGCAAAGAGCAGCCAGCTGGCTCGGCTGGCTCCTCTCACATGCTGGCTGTTGCTCATACAGGTGAACATTTTTCAGCCATGTAGCTCTATGTGGCAAAATCCTTCTGGAGTTAGCAGGGGAGGGCCGGGAGGATATCCTAAAAATGAGGTCAAATCAGATTCCCACAACTTCTCTCTACCCATAATCTGATAGTGTGATAATTAAACTCTTTTGCTTAAAACAATTAAGGATCAGGACTCAATTAGCATTGCAGAGAAAAAGAAAACATTTCACCAATTAAAAAAATATCTGTAGATTAATAGATAATCTAGAGATATGGTGAGAGATGGGGCTGGATTCCTTACTGACTGAAAGAAACTCCACAATAGTAGCAGGAGTCTGAAGTCAAAGAGCAGCACTGCAACAGGCCATGATCCTGAAGTGCAAAAAAAAATCTGACTACAATATGGCAACTCTGAAAACTGCCACAGCAGCTGACTTGAGAGGGAAGTTATAGCCAAAGAATTTTTTGGGCCTCCTAGCAACATTCTTTGCTGTCAGACACCACAGTTGATGTTGCTAAAAGTTGGTACCTGTGCCTGAACAAGTAGGGGCAAGAAGAAAGGGTGTGAAAATCCTTTTCCTGATTAGTCATGATCTATCTGCCTGATGCACAACCAGAAACAGTGTGATGAGTACCACAGAAAATACAGTTCATTTGAGAAAAGCAATAATATCATACGTGACTGCCTTTTAACAGGTAGTTCTTTTCATACTTCTGTTAGTATTTTCCTGTATCAACGTGAAATGCCACATATGTATATACAAAAAACACGGTTATGTAATTCATAAATTGCATGCTATTCCTACAGGGATTTTTTTATTATTATACTGAATAGAATTATCAGGACTTGAGACTATCTGCTTTATTGAAAAAACAATATAGCATACTCTTCAAACTTTGTTTTCTCACCTATTTATGATACTAACTTTTGAATGAAACTAAAAGTTTAAGAGTTTTAAATTTAAGTAGTGATCTACTTTTAAAAAGAGTAACTTCATTTAAGATCAGAATATTAATTAGACCAGTTTCTGCCACTCATTTTTATTAATAAAGTAATTACAACAACCACACTTGTTACCATGAAATAATTTTTTCTAAATCTCTCCATTGCATTCCGAATACATGGAATTGTGCCAATACAATGTTCGTATAGATACTTTATGACACTTAATACATTAATATTTTTGGCATAATTTAATTAAGACTTAAATCCCCTGCACTTTCACTGCATATCGGTTTGGTTATTGAAGCTTTTGTATTACAACAACTACTGACACGTTTAGCTGTAACAATATAGATGTGGAGGAAAAAAAGTGAAGTTATCTGAAAATATTCTTCTTGTAATACTTCTGAGAAAAAATGTTTCCTAAAACACAAACAAAAAAATTCAGTCTGCTGTTTTCTTATAACACTTTAATCTTTATTTAAGATTTGTCTATGTCCAAAAAAATTTAAGTCCTAGCTACACATTTGAGTAAATGTAATGTTAATTGATTATGATGAGGTCAAGAATATTGACATCTACTGTAATTACCTTGAAACATCATCCTGAACCAGGCCCTTCTGCTGCTTTATAAAAGCAGGAAAGTATTCTTCTCAACTGATTTTGTCTGCCAAGTGAGAACCCGGCACACACATCAATAGCTGTATATAAGACAGTCCTTATTTCCATAGGGATTTGGGTCTAAATTCAATGAGTTTAAACTGTATTTTTAAAAACAAAAGTTTAGCAGTAAAGATTTTCATCTTTATGTTTGGTAACGAAGGAGCATGAAAGATTTTCCTAAGAAGTATAAAAAATGGTCTTGCTGTATAAGCTGCTAACTTTATTTTTAGAGGCTCAGTAGTTAAAATTAATGGAAGCCTTTGTTTATTTGTCATTTATCTGCTTTTAAATACTTACAGTGAAAAATACGGAAATCAATGTATGGATGAGAACCTCTTCTCTCTGTTTCAAATCCTGCCCGACTTCTTACTCGCACATCTCCTAGAAACAGGGTCAAGAGTGAAATAAAAGTGTGGAAGAGTGGCAGAGATAAAATGCAAATGAACATAGCCTGGGGGGGTAAAGATTCATGTACTTAATGGAGGAGGGTTATTCAAACAATAAGCCTACTTCAATGCTTTTTGTTTTAAAGGTGAAATTCAAAACAAAGTTTGAAGACTTGTTAAACATGCAATCGCATGCTTTCTTGTCAAAATCTCTCCTGCCTAAGCATACGTTGCCAGAAGCATGTGATAAGCATTCAGATGAAATTAGGGACAGCTTGCTACACCAGTATGGTAAAAATGCACCTTAATATGACAGGAAACGAGAACATTAAAAGTTGATTTGTTCCTCAGTAACACACATAAAACAATAACATTTTGTATAATACAAAAAAGATTCAGCTTCTAGAAATGGTAGCTTTTAGCAAATAAGCTAGTTACAATATGGTTTTATATTACATAATAGAATATTTTCCCACTAGCATTTACTTACTTGTGCTCAGCTGTTTGAATATTACACAAGAGCCTATTAAAATACCAAAACTCAGTATTAAAATTTTATCAAACTATTTTGCACTGCAATTAGCTTCAACCTGAATCTTTTAGCATGCTAGTTGATTTCTACTTATGCATTTTACCAACTGAAAGCTGATCAGTATTCTTTCATTAGGTATTTGTATGCATTAATGTAAGTAGTTCACCTGGATTAAAAGCTTTCACTTAAAATCCTTTAGCAATTACAAATTTGGGCAAACCTTTGAGGAGCAATTGCAATAGTGTTTTCCTCCTCAAATCCTAACAAAAAAAGTGAAATTTAAGATGTGAAAATGTCCTGGATTCTAATTATGAAATTCCTTCAAGTATAGTACTCTCCTCAAACACAGCTATTATCATATGAATTAAAACTAAGTATTTAACACAAGGGACTAAGACCAATTTTATAAGAACAAAATAAAAATATAGCTATTTAATTTCCAGCAACTGATAACATCTTGAGAGGGTTTTTTCCTTTTCTTCTCCAACCTGCTAATTTGTAATGCTGAAGCAGGCATCTTATCAGAAAATAGCTAAAGATACTAAAACTTCAGTAATGTACTTTTAATACTTAACAGGTCTCTTTCTAGAGATACATATCTATAAACACAGACATATCTATAGTGACATGCTTCACATAAATGTTATCTTGTGAGGCATGCTGGAAGGACCACAAAAAGATAAGTAGGCCCAGGGCTTCCCACATAATGAGTCTAAAATTTACATATCAGTAAACACATACCAAATACATGTGGTTTTCAGTTATTCCTTTTGGTTTTTTTGAAACTGAAAACCTTAACAGAGTTGCAAGGGAAGGTAACCCAGTTACTACCTGTAAATATTCTTTTTCAGACCACTGACAATATATTACTTATAAAGGTTTCAAGCATTCATCTGAGCAGAGTGCAAGAAGCTTGTCTTGTTCCAGGCAATACAGAGGCAGCAAAATGTAGAACTCTTCTGTTAGGTACAAGCAACCAGTTAACTTTATTTATAAAATAAATTACTAAAAAAGGGAGGAATTTTGGAAAAGATAAGGGAAAGGCATTAGTAGCTGCATATGAAAATATCAGTTTACATCTAATGAAAATCGCATTTTCTTCCATTTCGCTCATATCTATCTGGGAAATCAGGCACAGTTACAGCTCTGTGAATGAGTTCAATAGCCGAATTAGAAGAAAAATAGAACAGTTTTTTTAGTTGAGCTTTTTTTTTTTTTTTTTTTACAGAAAAGGTGATACAACTTTTGTGAATTATGTTTAGTTTTCGAGGCAGTCTTAACTTTCAAAATTTACCAACCATAAAGTGAATTAGCAAATAGTTTTAGTCAGTGTACAACTAGGTTTTGGTGAACAATTTACTAGTTCAAACAGTTAAGAACAGGGGAAGTTCACAGAAAAATACCTGAGGACTAACATGGAATTCTGCAAATAATAAAACAAGCAGGTTCATCTGACCAATGATGTCCAGGAAATTTCTCTCTGCTTTGTTCTTTTTTATTTACTAATACCTAGTCTAACAGCACAAATAGAATTAACAGTATCCCTGTTACCCTTGAAATGCCCACAAAGTTGTGGACTCTGAGTAGGAAAACAAGAAAAACCGTCTACAAGTGAGATGCAGAGGTGCAACTAACTACATTGCTTTTAACAGGAGTTATTAAAGCATCTATTTACAGGAACAGTTAGCCAAAAGAAGAAATGATACACTAAAAATGGACATGGCAAACTATTAAAAAGGCAACTGTAATAAGAGAGAAGTAAAATACTTGCATACATATGAAATGAGAAATTCCCAGCAAGGAAAGCAAAGTATTTTCATCAAATAGTTGTTAAAATTCTCTCTCATTGATCACGGTAAAAGCAGAGGGTATTTTAAGAATAAGAATCAAGAACTCAACAGTGGGCAATTTTTTTTTAGAATACATTTGGATTTATTCTGGAAAAAGGTATCACTTCTACAGGCCTGAAATTTATTACAGTAAACGAAGTAGAAATTCCTACTGGGCCAAAATGAAGGCAGAAGAGCTGTCTCTATCATTGTACAGAACTACTGCATTTTTCAAGATTTTAGACAATAAGTGTGCTTGGAAAAAATTGGTACGAGTGGAATTTGAAGATACCATACATCCATCTGAAGTTTCTATGTATATAGAAGCACAAAAAGGAATAGCATCAAACTGGCTGCACATTAGCACATTATGAAATGATGTGCTATTAGCACAGCGAAACTAATCTTTACTGCACATGTATAGTTAGTCCCAAAACACCCAGGAATACTGGGCCATCATTACGCATGGACCATTCAGTTAATCTGACCTGCAAAGATCAATAGATCCCAAATGCACCCACTTCATTGTGCTTGCACACAACATAACCTATTTGCATCAGTTTGCTTGGGAAATTTATCATCATAGGTAACTTAAACAAAAAGGCACAAGACATTTCAGGTTTAAGATTACTTTTATCAGACAAAAGGACACTGTTAGATAATTCCTTCAAACAGCAACAGAAGTCCAACCTCACAGCCAATCATTATGGTAGCTGAAAGAGAATTAAAATTCAACCCCTTAAACAAAAGAGCTTATGAATAGTTTTCATTTACTTAGGTTTTTTTAAAAAATATCAAAGTGGTTACAAAATCTTTCGAAACCATCAGATCACACCCTTTGCTTATAGGTAATTTTCCTTGGGGAGGAGGGGCAGAAGTGATAGCAAGCTGACAGTTTTTATCTTAAGTGCTGCTTCTTTAGCCACTCTGAAAAGACTCCTCTGTTTCCCTTAGGGGAACACGTTGAAGTCCAGCATCTTAATGACAGTGGACTTCCAGGAACAATTTTTTTTTCCCCTCTGAGAGTTTCTGTGAATCCAAAGAATCAAGAGAAAGATTTTTAAAAAGTGAAGCCTTCCTTTCAAATTCTGATTTTGCGCACAACCATGACAAAACATCTGTTGGCCAAGTATTTTAACTACATTTTTTTTTCCAGAATAGGACCAGGATTGCTTGCATTTTTAAGACAAAGGCCATACAGGCAGAAACTCAATAAATAGTAGAAGAAGGAACGTAAGAGGCAGGTTTGCAGCTACAAGTGAAAACTGAAAAGGAATCAGGGCTGTAAGAAAACTTACCTTGAGACAGATCGTTTAGTTCCTACCCCTCTCTCAGATTCCTGCTCACACCGCAAGGACAGCTCTGATACTTACGAAGCAGCTGAAATGCCATAGCTGACATCCCTGCGCATTAGGGTTACACAGCGCATACTTCGTGCTACCCTAACGCTCCAGCGTGGCACAGTAACAATGCAGCAGCTGCTTGGGGAGCTGAGGCCTCCTGGAGCAGGGGCAGAAATCTCAGAGATCACGGAGGACAGCTGGGAGCAGAAATTACGACAGCCACCTCAAGGTAAACCACCCAAGTCAAAGCCATGAAGTTGTGAAGAGCAGGATTTCCAGAAAGAATTACTAGCTTCACAGATTAGAGTTCCTATTAAGTTTGTTGGAGAAACAGACGACAGGTCAGCCATATACGCCGGAATTAAAGCAAAAGGAATACAACATAACAACTGCTACCAGAGAAGAACGTGCACCTGCATTACACAGTAGCTTCCCTCCACTGTTTCCTATCTGAAGTGATCAAGACCTCTAAAGGAGGGTAAAATGCTCCAGTTTTAGTTGAGAGGTGCATGCTCACCGATACAAGCAGTCAGCGCCCCACTCTTTCTACCCCATGCACAGTAGCAAAACTTTCAGGCAATATAAAACAACAAGAAAAAGAAACCAGAAAAGCAAAAAGAAGAGAAAAATCAAGAAAGTATCTAGGTAACATAGAAGCACTTACAAGAAATTTTGAGAATCCCTCACAGTTGCCGAGATAAGTAGCTGACTGAGGCGATGCAGATGTATTAGCCCTTCCAAGGTCTTAAAAGAAAAATTCTACAATGCTGCATCTGTATCTATATTTTAAAACCGTAAATAAGCCACTCGGGAGTGGCTTAGTGTGTATTTTGGGAATGGGGTATGACAGATGAGTCATTACAGTCAACGCTGTTTGTTTATATCGACACTGATGAAGACAGCTAAGAGTTAGTTGTTTATTTTGTGTGCCCCTACAATTTGATCTTTTAAATTGAACCTGGAAACACTGCCATACCACAGGAATTTCTGTTTACTTGGTGCAAATGAATTTCCATTTGATTCCTATTGGAACATCCTGAAAATGTTAAAGGAAGCAACTCTACAGCCAGCACAACTAAACAGAGGCAGAGGGAGGTGTCCTAGATACCGTTAGCTTTATATTTTTGGTCTGCTAAAATAAACACACCTTATCGAGGTACATTAGTAGATAACAGTCTGTTTGGAATAATAACCAACCATGTAAAAGGCAAAACGTCTCATGACTCTGCCTAACTTCCCATTAAGTTACAGCTGAGGATTCCTTACAGTTTACTCAGCTAAAGTGTACCAAGATAAATAAAAAAAACAAAACCAATACCCTCACAATACTGTATGGGAAATGCAATACTTCACATTTCTTCCAAAAAAGTCTAATTGAATATATTCATTCTTGAATCTACTCTGATATGAATGTCTCTACACACCGATGCGTCCAACTGTTCAGCTTTCAGGCTGGTCTTTTTTACAGTACATTTACAAATACAACAGTAATAAATCTGTAAACAGTTGCTAACTTGTACAGTATAGTGTAAAAAATAGTGTAGGAAAACAAAGTTACCACCACCAAGTGAGAAAGTAATACAAATTTAACATACTGGTTCAAACATCCAATGAGCAATTTTTTGTTTCCTTGTTGGTACCCTCCTCCCCCCAGCCAAAGTTAGAAGAGGTCAATCCTTTAAAAGACTTATTGCCTCTGAATAGCTGGCATCATGGAACAGCAACAAATGCCAGCAAGAGTTATGCTATTCATAACAAGCACCAATCACAGAGTCTAATAATTAATTCCAATGAGAAAACAAGTGAAAATTTAATTTACTTAACATCACGTTCTGAATATATTCCAGTTCTGCCTATGAGAATAGTCAAAGAAATGTTTCAAAACAAATGAGGTTTTCCCCTCAGTTCAGGTGTACATACCAAGAACCACAGGAAGTCAAGCTTTGCTTTCCTCTAGATTTACTTGAGCATTATCACAAACTCTTCTGCAGAAATTATGGGCCTAACTACTTCATGGTACAGTTAACTCCCAAAGCAGCAAGAAATCAGATTATTCTTCCCAGAAATTCATAATTATTTTGTATTTTCCAATTACAGCACAAACCAAATTTAGTTTTAAAAAAAAAAAGTATCACAAAACCAAGGAAAAACTACTACAGGCCTGAATTTACTTTCTTATTCTTATGACTAGAGCAGAAAAATCACGTTTTGAAGAACTGCATTGTTCATCCTGCAAAAAGGATGATTAAAAATGAAGAAGTTATTTTAACTTTTGAAAATGAAATAAGCTTATTTCCAACAAAAAACCCTGCAGCTTTTTCAGTAAACATTTAGAAGCCAGCAATGTCTGTCGTCCTCCTCTTAACAAATCTCCAAAGTAATTACATACTCTTATCAAAAATATTTCAGTAGACAGTCAGTGCTATAGTATTAACAACTTCATAAACTTAAAAAAAAAATCAAAATAACTGAGAAAGAAAAATGCGAAGATGCTAAGTCAAAATTGGATTTATGCATACATACACATGTGTATGCCTACATACGTAGGTTATGACTATAAATTCATATACATACACATGTGTACACATGCATACAGCTTAGAGCTTCAAATTCATAGACAAGGCAGTTATGAATTTTTGGGGACTTTAATACATACAATATACAACTACATTGAAAAGACTCAGGGCGTAAAAAGACATGTTCTGGCTGATTTAGTTGTAGCCGGTTAAGAATTTATAATCACTAGCTGTTGATGTTCATTGAGCCGTGCGAGACACCATGCAAGCATTCATAGTCCATTTCAACACAAAATCATAGCTCAAGATGGCTTAAATTAAATGGCATAATTTTGCAGTGAAACAGACTTAGAGCATATACGCAGTCCCCATGCCATCTGCACCACCAGCAGTCTCCAGAAGAGGTGCGGGAAGTACTGGATCTGGCAGCCAGATCTACAAGAGCTTTGCATCTTTCTCCTCTCAACGACTGACCTCGACTCCTTCCGTGCACTCGCTATCACAGAGGGGCTCCCCCGGATGCTTCCCCCTCCCAATACTGTTCTTCCATTTTAATTCGGCTTTACCCTTTATCTAGTTGCTACTTTGGAAACATTCTTCAGTAAGCGGACTAAACTACTGGCCCCTACTGTCATGCGTCCTTCCCCTTCGAAAGTCATCATCTTCTAGGATTAATAAGAAAATTATTGTTCAAAATCATGTCAGTATTTTAACAACACCTTGAGCATTTCATAGCCTCAGTACTGAAGTTTTTAAAAATGTGTGGTAACTCTCACACAAATGTTCTCTAAGCTACAGTTCTAACCAGAAGGATACCATGCAGAGGTGCTAAATTCCATCACAGAAATAAAGATCAATCATGAGTCACTTGGAAAACTTAACTTCTACCAAACACGTTACGTTAATCATAAGAACTTATTATTTTTTTTTAAATATAGGGAGTAAAACATCTGACACAATGGCTAACTCAGAGAGAAAAAAAAACAGAAAGAAAAAAAGGCAAACAACCAAAAAACCCAAGTCAACCCCAAAGAACCCAAACTCTTCTAAAGAATCTAACCAGAATATTATGCAGGAGAAAGGGAATGATAAGTTTAAGAATTCAGCACTCAAATATATGTATAAAAAAATGTAAATCAATGATAAACATTAGAACTTTGCAATATAGAAACTGTTATGCTTACCTAGCATACGAATGTACAACGCAGTCTGATCAGAGCTGTCATAGGAAATTGCTCCACGTCTCTGGGGAGAAAAAAAAAAAAGGTATATTTTATGCAAGCTAGAACTGAATCATTTTTAAATTGAAATGAAAAAGTATCAATTGTCAATTTTGAATTTAACTCTCAAAATTGTTTTTGAAAATTTGAACATGTATCTTAAATATATATATACACACACACCGATTTTGATACACAGAACAAGATTAGGCAGACACAAAAAAACATGCTCCTCACAGCCTTCTAGAATGTAATTCTTAAACCAGGAACTGCAAGTATTTGTTTATTTACTTTTACCTATGGGCTATTTCCATCTTTCAAAGTTAAAAGTAGTTTTAAAAGAAGTAAAAGAACTCAAATGACACCATTACTGCATTCCTAGGAATTCAATCTATATTCTGGCCAGGGTAGGACTCGGCTGTCATATGCTACTTTCATTTCCACCCTGTACTTTTTGTAGGCAAATCAAGGTACCACTGAAGCATGATGTAATACACAAAAGCATTTTAACGAAAATAAGCAAGTATTATTTCACATTTTATGATAAAAGTCTAAAAGAGTCATCAAGCTATCTGTGCACGACATTGAGATACTCCCATATAGGCTGTGTTTCTTACCTACACAAAATATTATGTTCCATACACATTCAGCTAATGCGATAATAGTTATAAGCCAGGAAGTGTCCCACGGGTGTGGTGAACTGGTCCTCTAATAGCTAAAAACTGGGGGAATGTTCTCATAGTTACACATCACTGGCATCATGTAGTCTTCAAAGTTTGGCTTGACCAAACACCCAGCGTCACGCCTTGCCTTTACTGTACTTTCACCATTTTCTGCCACTTCCTAGGGCCTTAATTAATGTTGTTTCTTAACCCTAGAATCAGAGGATCATCTTCATAGACAGACTTAAATTTTGCCAGTTCACAACATTTGTTCTTTAAAGAAGTAAGATTTTTGCGTGTGTGTGTGCACATTAAAAACTCCTACGGCCTTTCCATGTCCACCGCATTTACACTGAGGATGATGAAGTCCTGGGTGCCACAAAGGGTTATCATACTCCTTTGGGAACTTCAGATAAAAGCCAACCTGGAGGTGAACGCAGTCACCCATTTTTTCCTCTGTGTAGCAGGAATAACACCTCACCACGTACACGCAACAGCCTGAAAATGCACAAGTCCAAAAGATGGGAAACTAAACCATGTTAGGAAACAGGACAGAAAAATAGATGTTGGATGTTGAGAAGAATTCTAAAAGGAAAAAAGAGAGATAAAGAAACAAATTACTTGGAAGGGGAGAAAAGGCAAAATTGCTTATAAACATCTGTCTATGGAGCAAACTGTATGCCCGAAAAGAAAGACTAGAGATCGATAACCTCTGTCAGCAGAATTTGTACAACTGATGTGTCGACTCTCAACCCAGAAGTTACACTTAATTGTTTTAATATTTTTCATGTTAAAACGAGAAAAAAAACTTTACCCTTGAAGTCAGAAAAGATTTTCCGAAGGTAAGCTTAATACTTAATTACAGAAATCACCAAAGACCTAGCTCCAAATGCGGTCCAATTATAGTAGCTGTTGTAAAGACTACAAGGAAGAACTCCCTGTACAGCACTTTTATGTTGTCTTAGCTTTTATTCTGTATTTCCATGGAAGATCATAAACCATGCAAATAATCCTTCACTTGAAATATGTTTCTACAGCGTTTCTCACAGCAATGTGCCTGTCCTGATGGGAAAGGCAGCAATGCATCTCATCAGCCAGAAAATGATGCCGATTTCCCACTAACATTTTTCGACTTTCTTCATATAACCTACCTTTGAATTTCACAAATCTCAGCTGAATGTATTTTCAGTAGCCTGGAACATTTCATATCACTGACTAGGCACAATCAATGATGTAATTTAGTGCTGGCTTGCAATTTGCACCTGTCTATCACAGATTTCTGGACATGTCCAGTACAGTTCTGTAATCTAATATAGGAGAAAGCTAAGCACACATGCAGCTAAGAACAACCATGCCCAAATGGAGCATTTGTCTCTGAGAAGGAAAACAATATGCAAAAATTTACTGAAAAATAAACCCTTTCGATATGTTGACTGTAAAGTATTACTTGCTCTCTAAAATCTATGATATTATTTGCTAGATGAAGTAGTACATCCACGTATGTTATCAAACATAAAGCACATTTTTAAAAACATAAACCAATTGCTTATACAAACAAGTGATTTCGTTCTGCAAGGACTCTAAAAGATCTCACAGGAATCTCTGAACAATCAAATTCTTTTAAAATGACCTGTCAAAGTTTTGTCTCCTAGGGAAAAAGAGACAATTTATTGTGTAAACGTCACTAATAATACTTGAAAAGTAGTAGGGCAATTTCATCAAATTTTGCTAAAAGGGTAGAGGTCCTAAAAATACTTCAGTCATTGAAATTCGTTAAACAAAATAGATAAGAGAACACTTAGTAGCAAGTTCCACCAAGGAACAGATAGAGGGTGGGTGATGAGTGGGCAGACCTCCTACCTTTAGACCTGACAAGTAAGTGAGGCACGTATAGTGAGGAGTACTGGGGTGTGCAGGCAGAGACAGAGGAGGGAGCTAATGGTACAGAGGGTTTTTTAGCAACTTGTGATAGGTAAGGAAATTAAATATTACTACGCTCATCAAGCCACGGATTGCTTTGTGTCAGCTCACACTCCAAGGAGGTAACTGACTACATACCACAGGTTGAGGTATATCACCTGTTTTCCCCACTTCAAGTAATACCATCAGCATGTTTGTTATACTACCCCCTACACTACCCTAGAAAAAAGCAAAAA